TAGACTCTTAATCACATATTTTTTTAGTTTAATTCATTATTACATTTTTTAATTATACCTTTTTCTTAGAATGTTGTATTTTTTTATAGTTTTTTTAACTAATGCATAAGTTAAGATACTTTCTTATTTTAAATATATATATATATATATGTAAAAACTAATATTAATATTAATTTCAAGTGAATGAATTTAATTAAATATTTAATAAATTAAAACTTAATTTTATTTTTTTATATAAATTTAAAATAAAAATATATATTTATTACGCTTAAAACATAAGTTAGAAAAACTATTTTTTTATTTCTTAAATAAATTAAAAAGCATAATAATTAATTTAGCAGTGCTATACAGATAATTTTTTTATATCATTTTTCAATATAATTTTTATATATCATTAAATAAGCGTATGCATTTAATATTATAGATTTCACATGAATAAAAAAATTAATCATTTAAATAACACATTAGATCGTATCAAAAAATAGTATAAAAAAGTTATATAAAAAGATAATATTAAAAAATTATCCTTAAATAATTTTCTTAATTAAATAAGATAAAAAAGACACAAGATCACTAATGGAAGGTGCAACGTCAACACCACCTCTTAAAAGGACTTGCCCATTAACTACAAAAATCTTACCATTTGCAATTAAAATAAGAGATTGAAACCTATAATACCAAGTTACGTAGCACTTGAGTCTTGATATGCTATAAAAAAGAATACTTATTTCAATTTTTTATTATTTTACAATTCCAAGATAAAGGGCATCTATTTGCTGGAAAAAAAAATGATAAATATGGCCTCTTTTTTAGTCAAGGAATGATAAGTACTCTTTTTATAAAATTCAAAAATTTTTAGTGACATTAAATCAGAGTTTTATCTAAATATAAATGTTGGTTTGAAGTTTCAACAAAAATATAAGGTAAAAATTTAAAGTTAAACCTCTAAATTTATCGTAAATTTTCAATTAAATTTTTAAAATTTTATTGAAGCAAATAAGCTCTTAAATTTAGTAATTTAAGTAATTTAATTCTTTTCATACCACAAATTTAATACACATTTATATCTTACTTAAGTGAACAAAATCAATATTCACTACATACACATTGACATATTAATATCTTATTTATGGAAATGAGACATAAATAAGTATTAAATCTGTTACAAAGAAAGAAAGTGAAATTACTTATATTATTAAGTTTAAGCGTTTATTTGTCTCAACAAAAGTTTTAGGGTTTAATAAAAAATTTAGAGTAAGTTTGGGGCTTTAATACAGGATTTTTCCAAAATATAAACATTTCCTTTTTATTTTGGCAAAACCATAATTTAAGCCCCTGAACTAACCCCAGAATCGTTATTAAGCCCCTAAACTTTAATTGATGCATATAATCCCTTGAACTCTGGCATCAAAACAATTAAGTCCTTCTTCTTACGCCAACTTAACTGTCGGTGGGAACTCCATCGCATGGCTTAACTGCCGTTTGGGACACACCCGCTTGGATGGCAAAATATTGCTATGTCATGCTTATATGGCAAAGGATTTTACATTTGAGCGGGATTTTTGAATTATTTGATCATTTGATTTTTTGATTTAAATAAAGTTTAAATAAAATAAAGTAAAAATATTATTTAAATAAAGTTTTAAATTTAAATTTAATAAACACAGTAATAGATATTAAAAAAA